AGGATGCCTACTAATTAACAATGTAATTAAAACCACAGCCCCTTCAGAAAGCCAGAACTGATGGGAGCACTTCAGCGCCTAGCCAGTGTGTTGTGGCCTGGCCAAGGAGCCCTGCAGAAGGACCACCCAGGGCTGGGGGGGCAAAGGGCTGTTCTGGGAGAAAGCTGGAGTCAGTGTTAACACATTCCTCAGTGAAGCCTCCTCAGGTTTGGATTTGGATGGATTTAAGAGTGATTCAGGCAGTAGTGAACGGACTGGCAATCCACAAAGCCCCACAGAACATCCCTCTGTGCTACAGTGGGCTGCCATTGCAGAAATGTCCTGTTGTCTCTTGCTGGATAAAGCTACTCCTTTTAATCTGTCCTAAGTTGATATGGAAATCACAAAGTAATAGGGAAGTCTTTTAGCCAAGACACTCTTTTATATATTTTATTTTTTTCAAGGAATAGCACTTTCTACAAAAACGAACGTTATCTCAGCCAACATCAATTCGGCTACAAAAGCTTTGCCTTTTCTCTCCTTCCCCCACTGCCAGTGAAATAGACTGGTGAGTTCTTGACTCCTCCTTGAACTGCAGTATTTATTGTCCTGCTCCACTTTCCCCCAGACCAGAATACATTTCAGTGGCAATTGAGTATTTTTTCCTATAATTTTCTGTGCATTTGGGGCGTTTGTAGAGCGTGCGTTGCTGAGATAAGTAGAAAGCATTTGGTTTTGTTGTCCTTAACAGCATTGTTTGAGACATCAGTTTCCTAGCTGTGAGGGTGCCTTAAATGTTTGCTGATAGCTTTTTTGTGTTGATGATTCTTGATAATCTGTGCAGTAGGACAGAGCCTCCTCTTGTGCTGTTAAACTCCCCATCCCTGTGCCAGGAGGGGAGAGAGCCATCAGCATTTCGATGGAGGAGCTCCAAAGGAAGCCCAGTCGCTACCTAAGGCTGGGGACAAGAGCTGGGCTATGGCAGGGAGCCAGCCCGCGGGGACGGGGACAGTGCCTTGAGTTTTGGGGGGTGCGTGACTCACTTTGGAGTGATTCTGTAAAATGTCTCTTGAGCAATTCATCTGGTGAGCACAGTGCTCGTCTCTTGGCTGGGAAGCAAGCAAGCCCCTTATAAGTCATCTGTTAGTGTCTCCAAAAAGTCTTGTAATCCCTATTGCCAAGCAGCTTTTGTCAGAGAAATAACATGAAATGCAGGAGAAAGCGAGGGAAAATAATTGTATCTGGAGGTTTGACTATGACTCTTTGTAAAGAATTCATGGACACGTTTCAGTTTGCCTTGTATAATCTAGTCTAGTGTTTCTCACTGTGTCCATCACAAGGGTCTCTTGGCAGTAGCCAATTCTAATCCCATAAGATTTTGTTAAGAGCTTCTAGAAAAAAAAAAAAAAGTAAAAAATCAATAAGTCTTCCAGCTAGGTCTCCCATTAGGTTTAACATCCAAATAGCTGTGACAGTTTGTGTGCCCTCTTCACGACAGCAGCCACCTTGCTCCGGGTCCGTAGCTCTGCCACGCGTTGGCAGAAGTGCAGCCTGGTGGGGCATCGAGTGGATTCATTTTTGCCTCAGAGGTCTCCCAGGGTCTTCACACCCAAACAATGTCTGAGCCTTTGCTGATTTTTCAGGATGATGCTTCTCAGGGGCTGCCTTTCCCATCCACCAGCCATGGTGGAAACCCTCCCTGCGTCCCTCCGTGCCATGTGTCCTGATGATGCCATGTGTCCTTTCCAACAGCCTTGCCTTGCTCGTAGCCACGCAGGGCACATGTGTGCAGGTGATTTTCCTAACCTGGTGCTTTGATCCCATCACCCGGCTCTTTTGCATCCCTCCCTGGGCTCCCCTTTTCTCTAACACGTCAAACCCAAGCTGCTGCTTTTTCTTTTCACAGCCCTCCCAGCTCATCTTTTCTCACTCTCTGTCTCAAGATGTGTTCTGCTGTTGATTAGCCACTGTCACCCAGTTGTGAGGTTTCTAAACCTTCCTATTTGACCCTTAAGCTCCCAGGGGCTCTTGTGAAATATCTGCCCCCCTGGTGATTCGTGCCTTAAAGTCCTTCCTCTCTGGTCCCATGGACAGTTTAAGGACAGTGGTCCTGCACTTGGGTGAGGGATGAAGATGACCAAAGTCTGTAAGGGGAAAAAAGTAGCCATTCACAATTGTGTGACCGGAGCAGGGTGTGGGGGACTACGAATGCACCATAAAACCATGTGTGGGATAGATCAGCAGATATCCTATGAATGTGCGAGCAATTATTCTCTCCCCTTCTGCACTTGAGCAAATGAGGCATGTTGTATCCGAGCTGTGGTGTGTCTGCATGGGACCACAAGACAGTTAATTTGTTTTGGTTAATTGGGAAGGAGATTTAGTCTTTTCTTTGTCAAAGAAGGGGAGGGGCACAGGAAGGAAAGGGGAAAGAAATAGGATAATCCTCTTCCCTGTCACTTTCCTCTTCCTCTGTCTGTTTGGAAATGGTTTAACTTGTGGGTGTTGAGTACCGTATGTGTCTGAACAGGCACCACAGAGGTCAAGACCTGGAGGAGAAAAGTTATTTATCAGCGTTGATTTGCTTGCACCAAGTCACTGAAGCCAGACCCAAGCCACACAGTACAGATCCAATCTGGATACAGAGCCTTGATTTGGTGTTTGGGCTTAGCCCAGCATGGGGATAAAGCCCAAATCTGACTCCAGATCCATCTTTCGGAGTCTGTGTTAACATGAATCTGGATGGGGACCTGCCCGTTCCTCCGGGTCCAGCACAGATCTCATCACTGTACGTGGCTCTTCTGGTGGAGGTGACAGAGACTGGATCCATGGATGGAAAAGGTCTGGCAGAAGCTGGGTTGGGGACAGCAGTTCATCTCCATCCACTGTCAGCTGGGATGCATGCTGTGCCCTGCCAGCGCCGGCGGGTCCTGTCCTCACCCGCACCATGGAGAGCGCGGAGCACTGTCGGGGCACTCGCTCTGATTATCTGCAGCTGGTTTTTCATGAGTATTAATGGGAGCAGGATGTGTGTGGCAGACTGATAATATGCTTCTGACAGTCAAGGACTAGCACCTCTACAACAGCTTGTGTTTGTATCACACATTTATGGATAACCTGTTTCAAAAGGGTCTGAAATTGCATTATTTCAGCTGTTTTGATTTGTATCACTAACTAATGCAGCTGATACTGCAGAAACTTGATTTCTTCATTGACCTGGGTTTCTTTTATTCACTTCATCAGGGCGATGGATTTTCTGTTCATTTTATCCTGCAGGTTAACCCTTACCTGGCAGGTGCAGTTTCCTCTGGGGTTTTCTCAGACAAGTCAGGAGGTGATGGGTAAGCACAGATCAGGACCCTGCCCTCGCCAGCGGTCCTCAAACACTGCCTGAAGGGAGGAGTTTTGCACCCAGCGTTTCAGCCCAGGCTCTGGTCCCCAAATTTGGTGATTCTGGGGAGGATGAGTGCTGTCAGCACGATGGGTGTGTGCTCCAGATGTGCCATGTGGAGGCTGCTACCTTCCCTGGCTTGGGTGAGAGCTGCAGCTTCTTGCAGGTAGTATCAGAGTGTTTTGTCTCCTGAAGGATTCCCACGGGTCTTAAGTCCAAATTCAGCACTGGCTTCCTCTGAGTGCACCTAAATTTCTTGGAAACCTTTTAGAAAATTGCTGTTGCTGAGGAGCAACCAGCACCACCTACCAGCTAGGATGGGCCTCTCTGAGCTGCTCTTCTTGAAGCCCCTGTCCTTGGCCACCATCAAGTATTAGTTCAGGTAGGTGCTAGGGCTCGTGTCTAGGCTCCATCCTTACAAAAGATGGCCTTGAAGATCTGATGGCATTTTCCATCTGTCACTATCATGATCCGAAACAAGAGCTGTCTCAGACGATTTTTGCCTGATAGCATCACAGTTCCTGCTCGTAGCTGCATCCCGCCCCGACACCAGCCTCTCTCTATAGCTGCTTACACCCCTGAGGCTTTATTTACAGAAACAGCGCAGCACAGGCTTTTGAAGGAGGTCCACGCTGTGATGAGAACAGCTCTGAGAACGGAGGCATTGGGTTTCAGGGCTGCTCTTTGCTCTTCTCTTTTAATTGCTGTCTCTTTCCATAAAATGTTGCAGTTAATAGTTATGGTGATTGGTGTAGCCAATTTAAAAAATAATTACTGACTGCTTCAAGATTATCTTTCCTCCTAATTAAAATCCCGGACCTCACATATTAAAGGTATGCTGTTGACACAGCATCCCATGTGTGCCCAGACAACCTCATTTGGATTTACAGAATGAATTAGGTTTTATTTCCATCTCCAGCTGTTCTCTTCTGCACCAGGACTGTGGCCGCTGTCTCAGTTGGCCAGTGGTGGGAGAGATAAGAGGAAGATCTTCCTGCATAGCTCCCACACTCCCATCACACACCAGATTAAAAACTATTCCCCAGACCTCACCAGAGGATTTCCCACCTTCACTGTCCAGGAAACAAATTGCAAGTGCTGTGGCATGGTTTGGACATTATATATTACATATGTCGTGTGTGTGGGTGGGCTAGGACAGCCTGGAGTCCATCTCCCCTTCCCAAAGCTGCAGCCAGCAGTGACAATTTATTGACACTGTAGGAGCGAGGTTTGTCGTGCTTCTCGTTTTCCCAGTGCCGTGCCTGCAATAGAAGAGAATACGGGTAAAAGAGCCAGGTTTTTTTATTTTTATTATAGGAATGTGAGTTGTGATTGTTCCCTACCCCAATGTTTTTGGGTGGGTGCTCACTAGCTGCCGGGCTGGTTTCGGCAGGGCTGTTGGTGCAGGCTGTGTTGCAGAGGATGGCGTGCTTCTGGAGAGCGCGTCTGTTTGTGACCCAGGTCATTTTTGTCATTGTTCATAAGCTTAAAACATTGATGAACACCTGAATGTCCTGCACCCTCATGCAAGGGTCGCTCTGTTGTGCTGTCAAGGTCGTGGTACATTCTTACAGTTTTTACAGACTCTCATCAAAACCCAAAAGTTAATATTTTGGGCAGGCCAGGAGGTCACCACTATATTTCTGTGTTTCATCTGGAAAATTGATAAAAGGCAAGTACTAAGGCTAAAGCAGCTGCGAGACAAAGACGGTTGGTTGTATCTTCCCCTAAAGCCAGCCGGTTGTGTGGCTTGACAGTTCTTCCCAGGTAGTTTCCCTGCTGGATGAGGATACCCTAATTCACAGAGTTAAATGGGTGTGATAATCTCCCATTTCTCTCCGCACACCAGGTGTCTAATGTGCTTCCCCGTAAACTCATCAAGGAGGCTGGTTTATGGCCACCTGTGGAAGAAGATTGCCTTGGCACTGTAGCGCGCTTTGCTGTGTTCCCCATAGCACGATCCGTATGGCCGGGCAAGCCCAGAAAACGCTGATGCTGTGCCTCTGAGATACTGGTTCTCAGCAGCTTTCCCCCAGTTTCTTCTCCTTTTTTTTGCTGGATGCCAAGATGAGTTGGGCAAGGAAGACCTCCTCCCCAAAATGTGGTACTTATCCTTTGCTAACGCTGCAGGGTGTGGGACCCCAGTGAACCTGGCCGTGCTCTTCCTGCACACGCCGAGGCAGTCGCTCTGCTTCCAGAATTTGATTCACCAGAAAAGTCAATTTTTCTCTTATCTGGCTGAGAACAAGCGAGTACGTTTTGTGCCGTGGTTGCTGAATTTTAATGGCTTTCCTGAGAAGCTAATTTGCAGGATTAAGGCTCAGCTCTCCCAAGGGCTCCCACTGTCTGAGCACAGGAGCCTGGCAGAAAGTGCAAATGAGGAGCAAGACACTTCCCGTGGCTCCACGTGCGACAGCGGGACCCGGCTCAGGATCCCAAACCTCTGGGTGAGAGCACAGAAATGCCACGCGCTCTGCTTCCCTTCCTCGTGCCTTTTATCCAAAGCACTGCCAGTCACTCACCCAAACCTAGGACCTTTGAAAAATCTACTTAAAATAATCCGAGGGCTTGAACAGGCTATGGCATGAGTGCTGGCATCAGATGTGCTAGGGGAGGAGGGATTGCACCCAGGGGGGACATCTTCTCCTTCCCCCAAACCTTTTGCTTTTGGATTTTGCTCCTCTAACAGCGTTTTTCTGTTGAGCAAAATAAGTTGCTTGTGCAATAAACACTGGGTGCTGGAAACATCTTCTTACAGGATATTGATGCTGCAATAACTTTTAGTGGCAGCCCAAAAATACAACTGCTGATACCGTTTCTGCTCATGGATCACTACAGGGTGCCTCCTTTCCCTGTTCTTTGTGCCATCCCTCATAAAAAGTAACACACTTTTCAGCCGCGAGCACAGGTGACCTCTGTATCACACATTATTTATTGCAGTATGCCGTATTGTGTATCTCATGGGCTGATGTTGCAGAGCGTGGTGAAGTATTTTGGTCCAGGATCACAGCGACAATCAGTGGGTGTAATGGGAACGCAGCGGTGTGTTTCAGCTCTTTCAGCTTGATGACCCTTTATTCCAAGGCAAACGTTTTTACAGCCCTGTTGTGTTTACTGTCAGAGTAAAAATCTTCGTTCATCGATGAAAATCATCAGCTTGTATGGATGAGAGCGTGTCTGCTTTGAGGGGTTTGCTGGAGTCTACTTGACATGTGGATGGTTTGGTCTCTGGTATTGATCTCCTCGGTTGATTGGAAGATAATTGTAGGCTGAAGTGCTGAAGGCCACCGTTGCAAGCAATTTGTTTTTCATAACGCATTGCCAAGGCATGAGATGCTTCAATGCCATAGCAACAAGTGTGAGGTAACTGCCAGACAGAGAGCAGGAGGATGCTTATTCATAAAGCAATCCCTAGAGAGGCTTTTTCTTGGCATGGAGAACTCTTCTGCTAGTCGGAAACCTCTCACTCTGAATTACCAATATATCTCAGTCAGAGGCTGGAGAGAGAAAATGTGCAAGACATGAGCTCCGTGTCCTGGGGGAATAACATTCTTCCCTTTACCCTTGCAGGTACTGGCTAACGAACAAGGTGCACATCAAGCGACCCACCACCGGCCTCCTCATGTACACCTTAGCCACTCGCTTCTGCAACCAGATCTATCTCTACGGCTTCTGGCCCTTTCCCTTAGACCAGAACCAGAACCCAGTCAAGTACCACTACTACGACAGCCTGAAGTACGGCTACACCTCGCAGGCCAGCCCGCACACCATGCCCTTGGAGTTCAAAGCCTTAAAGACGCTGCACCAGCAAGGAGCCTTGAAGCTGACTGTGGGGGAATGCGATGGGGCCACGTAGGGTGGTCCCCGGCCACGTTCCTGCACAGCCACGGGAGGAGGGGGAGGGGGCAGAAAGGACGAGTGGTGCCTGGTGGGGTTGGTTGTCTTTTGTTAATGCGCAGAACAGCGGCACAAATACATATACGTGGTACCTATATATATTGACCTGAGTATTATAACTGTTTGGTGTTCGCCAAGGAAGGGGCAGGAGAGATGCGGGAGCATCTGGCGTTGAGTGGCCTGGGCGAGACCCCTTGCCATGGGCTTGCTGGGCTCGGAAGGGCGTTCAACCTACGTCCAAAAGGTGTGAAGGTAGCCTTGGTTTTTGAGGGTATGTTAGGTGATGGGTAAGCCGTTTGTCGTGACTGGTCCGAGGTTGGTAGTTAGTTTGTTTGGCCAAGGACGCTGATGCTCTGCAGCAAGGCGCATTCTTGGCCCCGTGCTCGTGGCGGGGAGGGGAAGGGGCAGGGAGCGG